TTAATTAAGTAGTGAATTACATAAACAATTTAGTGTCTTAATTTTCCATAGAATCTAGAAGGATCTTAAAGGCCGGCCTATCTAGTTGTTTCAAATAGATATCCACCCCAAAAAATGTTTTTTCGCTGCCCGGAGCATTTACATTAGGCGGGGAGCGGGGCAGGGGCATTGTCTTTTTATTAGGGGGAGCGATTAATGGGATTCATATTCTTATTGGACGAGGCTTCCAAGAATCTGGGGGCCCTCCTTTGGGAAGTTACCTATAGTCTGGATTATACTGTGTTTAGGGGGACCCTTGTTGTTGGAAATCCTTGTATGACAGGAGGTTTTGTGGGAGGCTTAGGTCCGGTGTGTGTCTGTGTGTGGCTTGGTACCGCTAAAGCACACAAGTACAGAGAAGTACAGCACCTGGATCTCCAGGTCCTGGCCCTGCTGCTGCAAGCAACTTAATCCTAGAGCCAAGCCCTCTTCACAGTCAACCTGCACCTGATATCTGTGGACCTTCACACCCTATAGAGTCCTAGACCCGGAAACCCCCATACCCCAAACTCATAGGCTCAAAGACTTGAAGTTTGTACCCTGAATGTTTGTAACCCTAGGTCTTGGGTCCCAAATACCTTATTAAGGGCCATATTCCATGATTTACGGACCCAAACCCAAGGGTACGAACCCTAGGGGTACAAAGGGAAACTCCCTGATAATAGCCGTCAACCCCACATCCCTAAGCCTTCATCACTCTCAGCCGCAGACGCAGATCCTCTGAAGTGCTGGGGCGGGCCGAGCCGGCCTCAACTTCGTGATGGTGAAGGTATAGTAATACACGCGATAATTAACAATTGATAGTAGCTGTAATAGTAGTAATATTGATGGTAATGGTAATTGTAAAAGAATAGTGCTATAGGAATATTTACGGTATGTTCCAGGATAAAACTTTCCACACCTTGCTCCACGTCAACGTCAATCCCATCCCGAAACTGTCACCCGCAGGCAGGTCGTTCACACGGAAACTTTTTGCTCTTTGACCCAACGTTCAACGCCTGACCTCGTGAAAAACTGATAAATCTCTTGAGCATTCTCCGTGTGAATGTCGGGCACTGTCATGTAGAATGCTCTTCCGAGCGGGTCGAATGCAGCCCTATTACCGCGGCAAATTGGCTGCAGAGTGGCGCAACACCCTGCGACTCCCCAAACAAAGCCTTTACGCCATGGCGCAAATGCGGAAGTAAGCTCGCATGAATCTCATGTTCCGAGCCGAAGCCCTCAATCCTAAAGCATGCAAACCCTGAAAAATGCAGCCCTAAACCCTGAACCTGTCAAGTACAGTGTACCCACCTGGATCTTCCAATGTAGCTCTTGGGTACTGAATGTCATTGGGACTCACATCAGACCTTTACATTGCAGGGTTTACAAGCCCTACGACCTAGATCCTAGATCCCGCAGCTAAAAACCCCAAAGCCTGAACTCAAAGGGCTCTGGAACCCAAACTCTAAACCAAACCCCTTAACTTGCCCTTTGACCCACGACGCTGGCAGCTGAGGGTACCCACTTGAAGACAGGCTGGGCACTGGTTGCCGATCCTCAGCTGCAAGCACCTGAGAATGCACTTTAGGAGTGTAGGATCTAGGGCTCGGGGGAAGGAATTTAAGAGTGTAGGCTTTAGACTTGAAACGTCAGAGTTCTGGGTCCTGTTTGAGGGGTTATTCAGGGGCTCGGTTTTTGGTTATGAGGGGGTTGGTTCTACAGAAAATAATACAAAAATACTAGGAAGCTTCTTGGCAACGTAAGTCCATTTGAGTAACACTTTTTTAAGGTTGAACCCAGTAAGATTATACTGCACTATATCTAATACTATACCCACAAGGAGGATATAATCTTAGTCTATATTGGGTCCTACAGCATCCCCAAATAAAATACTACTCATTCTCGGGACGACAGGATTGTATGGAGTTTATCTACGGATAATGAATGCTTTAGGATTTGGACGTGGCCAATTGGTTAAGCATTCTGCTTCGGGAACATTAATTAGCTAAGTCTTGGATGGATGTGATGGGGACCCTTGCGGCACCCAAGCCTACACCCAAAAAAAGAGAGGCCATTGCAGGTGCAGTCGCTCGCTCTTGTCACCATGCTGAGAACAGCTTCGGTCCTTCCTGAACAACTTGCTCGGGAAGCCGCGGCCGACAACAGATGCAGGATGTCAAGTTCACGGCGTTCGAATTCTAGGGCTGCATATCCGCGGCCCCTTTAAGAATGCTCTAGGAGATCTGAAATCCGTAGAACGATTAATATAGTATTTCCCAAACTCCCTATGGATCCCTGAACATATCCCCGAATATACCATTCGATGAATCACGATTCGTAGCCAGGACACGTCGGCCCCAAATAAGGGCCGTATATGGGGGCCATATTCCCAGCGAATGCGGGTTGTATTCCCCAATATGAGCCCGTATTCCGGGAAGTATTCTGCCAAGACATACATATATACAATACGTACAAATACGTAACAGGACACATCAACTCAGTCGTCGCAGACTCCCAGGAGATAGATTGCCCAGCCACTCCTCCTCGGCCTAGAGTCATTCTCTTAACTTCTTCAGTCAGTGTTTCGCTCCAATAGGTCAACGCCCACCACCCCCGATATCGTTAAACATTCCCTATCTTTTACGAAGGCATTTTTCATTTTGAAAGTAGCTAAACCCTCAAACCTGAACCCTATCTGTTACAAGGGCAGATTTCCCTGTGAAAGTGGTAGAGTGCTTCATGCAAAAGACCCAGAGGACTGCTGCGGCTTGGGCCTGGGCCGGGCGGAGGGTCGTGCTGGCTCCGGGCGCAGGGACGAAGGCTGCCCTGGGCTGGCTTTTGGTGTCAAGGGCCTCTGTCTTCTTGGAGAAGCCATGATGCCCTTGGCCGTTTGGGGTTGTATAGGTTGTGCCTTCCGTTTCTAGCTTCCACTCGTTTAAGCGGAAGGTTGTGAAATTGCAGTGAGTTACTGTCAGCTTCTGCGAGTGCTCGCAGCTTGTGGAGATTGAAGGACGTGCTAGGCTTCGAGCCCTCTGAAGGACGCCTACCAGAACCCACCGCGCAGCAGACCTCATAGTCATTTGAAAGCATGCAAGTATGAAGGATTGTGGATTTGAAGAACATTCCTCCGCTCGGCAGACAGCTTGCAGAAGAGACATGCCTATCGTAATAGCATCGCAATGAGTCTAGAGCCCCTGTTCTAAGATCTAGCAGTTCTTGCCAGGCCAGGATCAGTAAAGGTTTGTTTGACAATCTGACGCCACAAATGCTACTCAGCTGGATGACTAGAATATGATCCAACAGCATGGAACGAACTTGACAGTCCGTGAGAATGTCCATCGGTCAACCAAGGACCATTTCAAGGCGGCCCCGTGCAAAACACCGGTCGCCACATAATATCACACGACAAGAATGAAATGGGCATCCGCACTCTTGACAACCGGACAATGCCTGGCTCAAGCAAGGATCTGCCTGCATGTTATGGTTTGGGGATATCTGCTAGACATAGCGGCAAAGCCCTCTTTGGCGTTGTAGGACTTTTGCATATCCCGCCGCATGCCAATACGATGTCTCTTTCATACATGGCCTTCTCAACTTGAAGAGAGAAACTGGAGCCAAACATCGGAATTCCCTCCACACCGAACTCATAGGGTCCCAAAGGGGGGCCCCCACATAACAACCCCCGAACAATGGGCATATCGGGACTATGAAAGCCATATGAGGGGTTATTAAGGCTTAACAAGGCTCACTAAAGCTTAGTTAGGGTGTATTTAGCGCTGCTTAGGGGTTGAAATTTTTGAAATGTGGGGAGACCCCACTTTGGACCATGTGATTGAATGCCACATGGCCCGCTTGAGGTGCCACATTCGGGGGTGTGCAACCTGCAAACTCCAAACCATCAAATAGCCCTTAAACACTGGCGACTTCCTTCAAGTACCAGTACTGGACGGCTGTTCAACATTAGTGGGTAGGAGTGTAGAGCTTTAGAGGGAAGGAGTTGATACTGAAGAAAGCACAAGCACCCCTTTACCAAGCAGGCCAGCCGAGGGTGCGACATGTTGTCGGCACCTCTGCGCTCAGGCTGAGGCGTGAGAGGCGGGATCCCTTCCCACGCTTAAGCAATCTACCGTTAGGCATGTTACACAAAGCAAATTACATGTTGAGGAGCGCCAGAGTTGGGCGTAATAGGCCCGGGTGTAAGGTTGGAGATTCAGGCGGGTTGGCGCAAGAAGCAGAAACGCAGAACCCTAGCGATCCGAAGCAAGCACCAAGTGCCTCCCTGGATCTGACGTGCCTTGCACATCAAAAAACCGGACCTAAACACAAAGGGTTTCAGCTTGTAACCTGCGATGGCGAGATGAAGCTCACTGGAAACATGAGTTTGGCCTGATATTGCAGACTATGGCTAACGGCTGAGGCATGCACCTCTTTCTTGGCTGGAACTCCGGATATCCAACGCTTGTTGAGCCAGAGCCGCGGACACCACGTGAGCTTTGTTACCGAAAGCTATGAAAAGACACCAAAAAGCGTTGCTCTCTTACACAGGGCTAGCCATGCTGAGACATTGGGCTGGATCACAAGACAAAAGTGTCAGGCTAGACACGCAACGATCCCTCATGAAGACCCTTGTTTGTCAGCTTGATTTATGGAATGCTTTGAACAACCGTTGCAAGAACATACTAGACTCTAGACTAAGATTCAAAAGAACTCCTCTTCTGACTATTCAGGACCGAAAGTGCTCCCCTACTGACCTCATGGAACGTTAATTCTGACTCAGAATCTGCGGGATGTCTGGTTACCTGCAGTCGGGCCCTCACTCGACTGCGGGCCTCTCTAGAGATCGACAGCCAACAAACCGTCCGATTTACTAGTAGAAGCATTCTTCATCATCCTTCGAATCTGGGTAAGAGACGGATGTTGGGAATGTTCAACATGGTCGAATCACGCCCCGAAACCTTGAAGTTCCGTGGGCGGGTCACGCTGTGAGGTTGTACTCAGCAATGTCTGTCTCAGTGTGCCGATACCTGCGACCATGACCCTTGTTCCCTACGTCAAAAGTGCAGGTGCTGAACTTGCAGGCTCATTCTGCATGTCCAATAACGCTCTGTATGAACCCTCATCTGGCAGGCTTGCTGATTTATGCTGCACTGTCCCTCCGGGTCCGCCCCTTCACTGGTCACTAGCTCCTTTCCGCTGACTCCGGGCAGTCAGCCTCTTCATGCCTCTTGAGGTCCCAACTTTTGGTTGGAATCTATGAATGCGACCACGCCCCAAACAGCACAAAAACAGGAGGCTACTCGAAGAAGAGCACAGCAAACGCGCAAACCAGAATGAACGCTTTCTGAGGTGCTGCTGCGAGTTGATCTTGAAGAGGCGATGCCTCACCTGGCAAAGCTCAGCTCCATGTCTTAACGCATGTACCTTGCTCATGTACGACCCAGAGTATCATGGAGCGGAGTGCTTCGAGACTGGGTGTCCTAAACAAAGCGTGAAGGACTTGTTGCCTGAAGTTCCGAATCCCGGACCCCCAAAACCTGCAACGCTCACGCTAGGAGCCAAAAAATTGGCGCAGCTTGAGGCCATTCCAACGCCGCTCCGCTTCACGAACGTGTTGTAGCAGTTGGTTGCAACATCATCTGATTTGCTGGGATTTGTGAAATCCGTCAGAGAATCGCAAGGCAACTTTACGAAGCCCTGTAGTCGCAGCCCGAACTGGGGATCGCCAGAAACAAAAAGTCTGGGCATCTGGCTACAATCTGAGGAGTACTGAACCCTCGCAGGCTTAAAATCAAAGCTGGGCCCGCGGAGCATTCTCAACAGCGTGCTCCGCATCGAACTAACAAAAAGATCTCACACTAGCTCCCCGAGCAAAGGCCGTCTAACTGTCGCCTCTTTCCATCTAAAGCGCGCAATGGTTTTGTGACAGCTTTGGTCATCGCACGGGAAGTTGGCCAATCGGTCCAATCCTTCATTACACTGTCCTCTCGAGCGGGAGGCGTAACTAGTAAGTCAGGAAACGCGACTGCCTTGGGGTCGGCAAGTATCTTCTCGGCCACCAAGGTGAGCTTACGCCAGCAGAATTTCCCTGACTGCGACGAGTCTTTGGCAACGGCTGCAGCCCATATAGCCATGTGGTTGACTACTCGAAGCTTATTTGCAGCACACGGCGATGCATAATACATGATGACTGCGTATTGCAGGTAGTTCACAGCGTGCCGGTAGCTTGCCTGGCCCACGCACGTCTTAAACATCTCGTCCAGGATGGACACAGCCACGTCAGGTCTTCCAGCATTGAAATGAACATTTGCATAAGCGTGGTACGCCAAAGAATGCGGTTGTACCCGCAGAGTTCGCACTAGCATGTCCCAAAGCTTGTCTGCTCGCTGCCAATTTTGCCGGTCAGCTTGGCAAGCTAAAAGGCCGCCCGATACCACTTCATTGGGGGCGAGATCTTCTTTTGCCAGCTGAATCGTCAAAATGTCATCCACTTCGTCAAAACGTTCCTGCTGTTCAAGGATGAGTACGATCGTCGCATAGGATACAATCGTTTTGGCAAACGGCTGGCCTTTTGACCAATGCAGGAGCTCCGCTGACCATGACATGGCTTCATGTGTGCCAGCCAAGCGACAAAGCTTGAGTGAGGCACTGAGCAAACAATTAAACTCGTAGGTTGTTTGCGGCTGCCTTTCTTCAAAAACGCGCTTGGCCAGTCCCAATGCGAGCGACTTCCGCCTGAGCAGCTGTCGTGAAGAGATCTGTGTGCGATCACACCTTAAGCAGCAAGCCAGGGAATTGAGGCAGATGCTCTGCTGGATGCAAAAGAAGGAAATATTTAGTCGCTCTTTCTCGCGATGCAACCAGAGCAGAGCGTCCCACCAAAGTCTCTGCCCGCAGAGTTGCATTGCCGCACCAAACACACTGGCATCAACCAGGTCCCTCTCCCTAGCATCTTCGAAAATCTCTTGCAAGCTTGATGGCGATCTTGCCTTCTTCAGTCGTGCTCGCACAGGCGTGGTGTTTGCACCGCGCCCTCGAGGATGCTTGTCGGTATAAGACCTGGTAGGAGACAGGACGTAATGCAGATCTGCATCCTTCTTGGATCTTCCCGTGCTAGACCTGAACTGTTTGACTGGCCGATTGAGCATCCTGCCGCGAGTTGCTAAGTTTGCCTCGTCTGGTCGGGAGTGGGAGCGCAAGGCAACTGCCCCGATGGGCAGAAGCCAGCGTATGCAATCTTGCCATCTGCCAGACTGTGAGCTCCAACATCCCAAAGTGCACACAGCCAGTCTGCCCTTGCCTGCAGAGGTGTGCAAGGATGCGCTGACCGTTGCTGCGCAGGGCGCATGTGTTGGGGTAAGGATCATGCCCAGTATGTACCGCTGAAGGCTTAAGAAACCGGTAGCATGCTAGCCAGAGGACCAACTGCACCCCATCTCCAAAGAACCTTGCCAAGAAACAACTTCCCGAATCAGCATTCAACCTCAACTGGTCCTTTCGTCCAGGATCTGGGGCAATGCAACGGGGAGATGATGGGGGAGTAGCACTAGGATCCATGTATGTGATGCTTATCTAGAAATAGAGAAGGAGATGCCTTGAGCTCTTCTAGGCAAGAAGGAGATTTGCGCATTTGCGGCTGCACGTGCGAAGTCAGCATCCCCTGACACCTTGTCTCAAGGCTATAACCCGCCATATAATACCCCTATTACCCCTATAGTAGTCCCCCATATAATCCCCTATACAACCCTTTTAAGGATTTTGACTATAGTTCATATAAAGCCCTAATCCCTATAAACCCCATACACTCCCCATTTCCATTTCATTTTCCATTTTCTTTTCCATTTGATTCTCCATTATTAAGGGGGCTCAGATGACAGTGGGCACTGGACCCTCCGAAGTTGAATCCTGCGCCCCGAAGAGGAATGGAGTCGTTGCAATGCACACGGTCACGTGAAGTTGCCTTTGGAAGCATTCTCCAAGCCCTGCTAAACCTAAACCCTGAACACTAAAAGCCCAAACCCTGAATCGCAGCCATGAATTTGGGAAGCCTCTGGATCAGTGCGCGTGCAGAAGCCATGGTATGGGCCTGGGGGCGTGGGGCTGGAGGAAGTGGGTTTCAGTTCAGAGCTAAAGGTTTGGGCTTTGGTGTTGAGGTTTTGAGAGTAAACTTCTTAGGTTTTGCCACGCGGTTTAGGGTTTAGAGCTTAGCGCTTCAAGTTCTGGGGCTTAGGGCTGTCGAACTCACCCTGCTACGTGTAGGGGCAAAGGCGTATACGGACCAGGGTTCGCCCTTCCAGCTCTGGCCTTGCGGTAATATAGGGATATCTAGAGTTATATACGGGAATATATACTTACAAAATACCTAGGGATAATGGAAAAGAAACAGGAAACTACATGGCTGTGGGCATGGAGTAGAACGTGGCGGGCGAGGATTGCCAAAGGCTCTTCTGTATGGGGTGGCTGAAGGAGGCCGCATGTATACATGGTCATCCTGCAAGTAAAACATGTCTCCCGGTGTATTGAGTAGAGCCCTTTGGGAACTTTGAACCCTCTGCCCCGCGGCCGTACAGTCCTCACCTATTAGTATGACTGAGGTGCAACTTGTTGCGTCCTTGGTAGCGGATTTCCTGCTCTGTTTTTCGAGCTAGCCTCCCGTCTTGCGTGGGACTTTTTGCTGAGATTGTTGGCAGGCTGCTGCACTGTATCAAAGCTGCGCAAGACGCATCACAGGTTTGGGGGTGGGGCCAGAGGAGTTTACCAGTCTTCCTGAAGAAAGGAGAAGCAAGGAGAAGGCACCCCTAACCTGCCAACCACACCAGCCCGTCCTTTTTTGAACCTCGCCCCATCCTGGAACAGCAAGCTCTTCCACTCATGCAGCCACACACTCACTTCTGTAGCCTCTTACTTGATGCCCAAGCCCCTGGCTGTTAATGATGTCGCCCCAGAAGCCACGTACCTTTACAGAAGCTTCTTGGAGGTGGCTAATGATCTCCCTGGTGCTTACAGCCGGCAGTGACAGAGGTTCTGAACTACTCCGGGGATGCATTGCTACGATTCGGACCAATCACCATGCGGCAGTTGTCGGGTCAGTCTCGTCAGGTTTCTGCGCACGAGCAATGATTCTGACCACAGGCAGGCCAGCAGTTGCTACCAAAAGGCAGGAGGTAGAAAAAGGCACCACTACCTGCTCATAATATTTGGGTCATGGAGGCCTTCGCATAGACTTCTATCCTATCATAGGTGCCCTGTTCCGCTACGACATAGCATGCTCCATTCGGTCCATTGGGCCTGCCCTTATGCTCAACATCCTGGCTGTTCAAAACTTATGATAAGGTCGAAGTGCAATATCTCCGAATACTGTGCCCTCTCCCACGAACTTCTGGCGCTTCTACCCTAAAGGACAGAGCTGGTGTCTCACTTAGCCGCTAAGTCCTAAAAATCCGCCGAACCTAGGTCCTGAAGTGTCGGAAGTGCATGTCCCGAAAACGTGGCTCCCCTGGCACCCTAGGCAGGCGCGCAAAAACAAGAAAAAACAGCTTACGACTTCACTGGCTATTGAACAAATTTCAGGCGAGTTTGATGCGAGACAGTGTTTTTCGCTTCGGCCTGGGGGGCTGTTTGGGGCCTCTTGGGAGGCGCTTTGACATCGAGCATTGACGCCAGCAAAGCAAAAACATACAAGCAACAACTGTCCAACAGGCGCAGCTCTTTCATGCCAAAGCGGCAGGAAAGGCAAGCTTAAATCGTTGTGGCTTGGCACTACAAGCCAGGTCGGCGTCGAAGGGTAAAAATCAATCAAAACAGTCAACAAAATTGATTCCACAGGCCCTGAAACGGCAAAACTGGTTCCAACAACCTATATATTCAGAACCGACATGCAAAAACCAAGAACGTTGGCGCCAAGAACAGCAGCCTCGGATCCAGTCCAGACCAAAACAACCCCGGCCCTAATCCTTGTCAAGCTCGTAACTTTAAGCTTTGACCGTATCGGCAAACAGTTCATGCGATTTCCAATACAAGAAGTCTGTGGAAATCGCACACTCCAGGCCCTAAAGCTTCCAACGATCATTTCGTGAATGATGAGGCCCGCTTGCATAACTACAACGCCCTATCTGAATCCCTTCGCAGTCCCAATGGCCTGGACAGTGGTACCCTTGGAGCGATCAACAGCTTCATTGTAAGACCTTGAGAAAAGCTGGGGATGGTTTAGGGTCGAGGGGTTTAGGGTTTAGGGTTAGGGGTTTAGGGTTTAGGGTTTAGGGTTAGGGGTTTAGGGGTTAGGGTTAGAGAGTTAGGGGTTTAGGATTCAGGGCATCGGGGCAGCCTTGGAGAGCATGGGTGGATACTGGAACCAACTCTAAGGTTATGCAGCAGCGAACCCCAAAACACAACAAAGTGCAAACGCACTATTTTCTTGAGCCACAGTAGAGCAAAGTACATATTC